ATATATTTTTTCATAGTTTTTATCTTTTGTCTAATTAACTGTTTTTTTTACTCCTTTCCAGTTTCAAAACCATTGCTTTCCACTAATTGCTGTTACATTGTGTAACATTTTTAGCCTACAGTTCTACATACTGTATTGCTACATTATTACATCTTCTATTTTTTACTACATCTTTGCAAAATACAAAGTATACCGACCGTGCGCATGCGTGGTGATGTGTGCGCGTGCGTGATGATGTGCCCTTACGTGACCTCGTGTAAAAAAAAAAAACGTTACCATAGAAACCAAGCGCACCTCAGTGTATATCATACTTAATGGAGGACCTAATACAAATAAAAATAAAATACAGAATAGAACTAGAATAGTAATTAACCCTGTGGTATAATCTAATCCCACTTAAAAGAGATACAGTATCTTAATACATATAGTCGACCAAATAGGGTGTCTGATGCATGTGTGAGTGCAAGAGTGAGTGTAAAGAGTGTCAGAATTCATGATAGTTACGGTGGCTAGGAAGATACAGTGTAGATAAGGAGTGGGTGTATGTGTGTAAGTGAACCTGTGCAGAAATAAAAACGAAAGTGGATCAATAAAACCAAAAATCAAACCCTATGAATGTGAACACTGTTAAGTGTAAGAATACAAAACAAACCCCCTGATATTTTCATTAACACAAGGCACAATATTAATGATAATCTTAATCAATCAAGTAAATCTCTCTAATTAGAGCTAGTCCTAAATAACAAGAAAACAAATATGTATCTCAGGACAAAGTAAGTAGGTATACATATAAAAAATATATATAATATGAAAACAATGTAAAGTATCCATGTATCAAAAATTAAAAGAAACAGGATACTAAGTGCATTTTTTTAAATTAATATATACATATATTACACTTAGAGTAAAATTACACATGTGTGTGTGTATATATATATATATATATATATATATATATAATAACTATATATATTATGAAAAATAAATAATAATTAAAAATAAACTGTAAAAATATATTTTTTTAAATTATATATAAATATATATGTAATTTTATTCTAACTGTATTTTGATATTTATTTATATATATATATATATATATATATATAGTTATTATATATGTTAAATTATAATATATCTATGTATATACCTAGTATGCCCGCGGCAAATAGGAGCCCTGGACTTACCTGGACCGTCGATCTGTGACGATCATGGTCGGGGGGACTGCCGGAGACCCCAGCAGTCACCCTACAGCAGCTCCGTCCACCCCGGCCTTCCAGGGTCATGTGATCACCATGGGACAGTATACCTATTACAAATAAGAGGCTTAAGCAAAGATACATGAAATGAATTAGGTATACATAAGGAGGCAGGAAGAGCAAGAGAGTATGAAACAGGATTGATCCTCCGAACAATCCGAAAGGGACCAATAAATCTGGGAGCAAACTTCATGCTAGGAACCTTGAGTCTGATATTACGTTAGGAGAGCCACACCCGATCACCTACCCGGCAAACAGGGTTGGCACCCCGCCGCTTATCGGCATGAAACTTGAAACGGCATGAAACTTGAAACGAGCTAAAGCTGAGTGGACTTTAGTCCAGGTTTCACCTATAGAGGTAAGGTGGTCATCTAAAGCAGGAATAGTTGTGTCAGAGAACACCGCAGGGAGAACAGTAGGATGGCGACTGACAAAAAATGGACTATGCCCGGATGAGACATGGGTGGCATTATTCCTGGCAAATTCGGCCCAAGGTAGCAATTCAGACCAATTCTCCTGCGTGCTATTGATAAAACAGTATAAATACAGTTCTAATGACTGATTAGCCCTCTCAGCCACACCATTAGTTTTAAGGTTGGTACGAAGAAGAAAAGGATAATTCAATACCTAACTGTTTATTGAATGCTCTCCAAAATCGTGACACAAATTGGGACCCCCTGTCAGACAAAATGTTTGGAAGAATACCATGTAACCGGACAAATTCATGTATAAATATATGAACTAGATCTTGGGAGGAAGGCAATTTTTTGAGCGTAACAAAGTGTGCCATTTTTTAAAAGCAGTCAACCACCATAAGGATGGTGGTATAACCATTAGAACTCGGGAGTTCAACAATGAAGTCCATAGATGAGACCATGGGACACTGGGTACAGGAAGAGGTTGTAATAATCCCCATGGAAGTTTATGGGAAACCTTGAAAACTGTACAAGCGTCCACATAGTCTTTGATGTCTTTCCTGAGTGAAGGCCACCAGAACTATCTCCAGGCAGCGGATATAGTTTTAATATCCGAATGTCCAACAGTCACATTGTTGTGGAATATCTTTAGCACCTCCTTTATTTATAACAAAGGAATAAACAATCTATCATGAGGTTTATCGCAAGGTGCCTGGGACTTAGCCGCCATGATAGCACAAAGAAGAGGGGATGACAAGGAAAGGACAGTGGATGCAATGATACACTCAGGTGGAACAATAGGGGATGTCTCCTGTTCCTGTTCTGATTCAATGTCAAATTGCCTAGATAATGCATCAGCTTTAACATTCTTGGGACCTTGTCTGTAAGTGATGATAAAGTTAAAGCGAGATAAGAACAAAGACCATCTAGCTGGTCTAGAAGACCATCGTTTAGCATCAATATATGACAAATTTTTGTGATCAGTAATGATCAAAAGGGGGTCCTTGGAACCCTTTAAAAGATGTCGCTATTCCTTTAGCGCAAGTATAATGGCCAACAATTCTCTATTACCGATATCATAGTTACGCTCTGCAGGAGACAACTTTCTAGGGTAGTACCCGCAGGGATGCAAAGGGGTGTCCTGATTTTCCCTCTGAAAAATAACAGCCCCTACCCCTGTCTCGGAGGCATCAACCTCCAGTACACAGGATTTGCTAGTGTCAGGATGTACCAATATGTCAGCAGAGGCGAACAATTCCTTAAGAAGCTCAAAAGCCTCCCTAGCTTCTTTAGACTATATAGTAGAATTAGCCCCCTTACATGTTATATTGGAGATGGGGGCTATCACGGAAGAGAATCCTTTGATGAATCTCCTATAGTAGTTGGCAAACCCAATAAACCTTTGAATGGCTTTTAACCCATTAGGTAATGTCAAGTGTAGAATTGCTTCTAGTTTACGAGGATCCATTTGCAAACCAGAATCCGAAATATTATATCCCAAAAACTGAACCTCTGTTTGGTCAAATATGCACTTATCAAGTTTGCAATAAAGTTAATTTTCAAACAAAATTTGCAACACTTGTTTGACATGTGTTTGATGAGTTTGGAGGTCAGGGGAATAAATAAGGATATCATCCAAATACACTAATACAAAGGTATATATGTAGTCTCTGAGAACATCATTGATAAAATCTTGAAATATGGCTGGGGCATAGCATAAGCTGAAGGGCATGACAAGGTACTCATAGTGACCACTTCTTGTGTTAACGTCAGTTTTCCATTCATGACCCTCCTTAATCCTTACCAAATTGTAAGCACTCCTGAGATCGAGTTTGGTAAACATCTTAGCGCCTTGGAGTCTGTCAAACAATTCCAAGATAAGGGGAATGGGATAGGCATTTTTTATGGTGATCTTGTTCAATGCATGGGCGTAAATCTCCATCTTTCTTGGATACAAAAAAGAATCCCGCAACCACAGGCGAAGAAGACTTACTTATGTGGACTTTAAGTAAAGAATCTTTAATATATTCCTCCAAGATCTTACTCTCCTGTGGGGATAGGGCATTTACTGGCCCCTTTGGGGGCATAGTGCCAGGTAGCAGATCTATGGAGCATAAGATCTGTAAGGAGGCAGCGTATCGGTGTGACTTTTACTGAACGCTTCTCTAACCTCCTAAAGTCTGAGGTGTAGAAGTAGGCAAAGTAGCGATGCCCACTCTCTTAGTAATGGGTGACATGCATCTCTCACTACAGTCTTCACCCCATTCCAGTATTTCCCCTTTAGTCCAGTCAATATGAGGATTGTGCTTAATAAGCTGTGGGAATCCAAATATGATGGGACAAGAAGGAGAAGCAATTATCTGAAATACGATAGTCTCTTTGTGTAACGCTCCTATAGTAATACTAATGAGCATAGTTTTGTCGGTAATAAGCGGCTGAGAGATAGGTCTCCCATCAATAGCTTCAACGGCCAGGGGTGATTATCTCTCCTTTGTAACTATGGAGTGTCTGTTGACAAGTTGCGTGTTGATATAGTTTCCTGCAGCACCTGAATCAGGGCTTTGCATGCAAAACCATGTCCCTTCTTGCCACAGTATAAACAAAGGCCCTCCTTTCTCCTAAACTGTTTCTCTGCCTCTGGCAGTCTTGTAACCCCCAATTGCATAGGTTTCCGGTTCAGACTGTCCAGGAAGGCCAGAGAAAACAGGTCTGGAGAAGCAAGGCGCCTGTGACATATTCAAGCATCTGGTTCTATTTTTAGTATTGTCCCTGGTTCTAACACGGTTGTCGATATGCATCACATACGTGATGTAGTCATTTAACCTCCCTGTTAGTTCTTTGGCTGCAATCTCGTCAAGGATAGCTTCAGGTAATCCCTCTGCAAAAGCAATGATTAATCCGCTATTAGTGCAGTCTACCTCAGAAGCTAGAGTACGGAATTCAAAAGCATAATCTGAGACAGACCGGTTCCCTTGTTGGATATGCATTAGGGCAGTAGCAGCGTTGGTCTCCCTCAGGGCCGGACTGGCCCACCGGGATACCGGGAAATTTCCCGGTGGGCCGTGGCACCTGGGGGCTGCAGAGCTCTTACTCCCTATAGAGAGGGAGCCCTGCAGCTGTTTTTTAATAATATCGCGGCCGCCGGCAGCATGTCGGTGCCGCCGGGTGGCCGGTTACCTTGCAGCCACTCTGATGGGTAGTCACCTTGCGGCCAGCGGCCACATCTCCAGTGCTGACAGTTGTACTGCTGTCAGTATCAGTGAGTGAGCCAGGCGGCCGCCTAACCATGCAGCAGTCAGCACAGGAGGACTGAGGGAGGGGGCAGAGCTAACTACCATGCTCCCTCGTGGTTCCCATAATTCCCAACATCTACACATCATATAGTAATCACTACTCTATGATATGGCTGAGCTGGGAATTATGGGAACTGTGAGGGAGCATGGTAGTTAGCTCTGCCCCCTCCCTCAGTCCTCCTGTGACAAGGGGCAGACAGCAGGGACACAGAAACAGAGGGGCAGTAGAAACTCAGGGAAAGGGGGGACAAAGAGAAGGGTAATGGAGAGACACAGGGGAGGGGGGACAAAGGAAGGGGTAATGGAGAGACAGGGGAAGGAGGATAAAGAGAGGGGTAATGGAGAGACACAGGGGAAGGGGACAAAGAGAGGGGTAATAGAGAGACATAGGGGATGGTAGACAAAGAGAGGGTTAATGGAGAGACACAGAGGATGGGGGGACAAAGAGAGGGGTAATGGAGAGACACAGGGGATGAGGGGACAAAGAGAGGGGTAACGGAGAGACACAGGGGAAGGGGGACAAAGAGGGGTAATAGAGAGACACAGGAGATGGGGGACAAAGAGAGTAATAGAGAGACACGGGAAGGGGGGACACAGAGACAAATGGGGTAATAGAGAGACACAGGGGATGGTGGAACAAAGAGACAGAGGGGTAATAGAGACAGGGGGAGGGGGCAAAGAGACAGAGGGGTAAGAGAGAAAGACACGGGGGAGATGGGGAAGAGAGACACAGGGGGTAGATGGGGAAGAGAGACACAGGGAGGAGAGAGGCAAAAGAGACACAGGGTGGAGAGGGGAGAAAGAGACACACATAAGGTTTGTTGGGGGGACAAAGAGACTGGGCTGGGGAAAAAAAGAGACACAGAGTGGCTGGGAGAAGAGAAAGAGGCACACAGAGTCTGGAGTTAGAAAGAGACACACATATGAGATTTGGAAGGGGAGAAAGAGACAAAGGGGCTGGGGCTAAGACATACACAAAATGGGCTGGGGGAAAGAGACATACAGAGGCTGGAGAAGGGTAAAAAGAAATACACAGGGGCTGGGATAAAGTAAAAGTTACACAAGGGTCGCTGTAAGACACAAAAAAGAGACAATTGGAGACGATACACTAAACAAGGTAAACATAATAGACGTAATTGATGTGATCCTGGCAGTAGTACACACACATATATATATATATATATATATATATATATATATATATATACATGTATATTGATGTGTGTATTAGTAACATATATAATTATGCCTATAATATATTAATATACATTTATATATGCATAATACACACATAAATGTCATTAATATATACATATATGTAATGAGCATGTATTGGCCCAGTCTTGTTGCTAGTTGCATACTCATGCACAATAACATATTCAAAGTGTAGAGCGTACACATAGGACTTCAAAATGAACAAGATAACTTAATTTTTTTTCAGTTGTGCAACCGCATACATTCACCATTTCAGCCCCATTACTAAAATGTCCTTAATAGGCCAAAGTAGTTGTACTGAAACAATGATTACATACAAATGTATGTCTACTTAAAATAAAGGCGCTCTTTTGTTTATTTTGAAGCCCTATATGCGTTCTTTCGCTGGAGTAATAGTTTTCAATTTTAAGTTATTTTTTCACCCTCTATATCAGCACACTATTCTGGCATGACGCATTATTGGCCTGGTATAGAATTTTTTTCCAGGGCTGCTTTTAGTTCCCAGTCCGGCCCTGGTCTCCCTACCCAATGGTTACATAGTTACATAGCTGAAAAGAGACTTGCATGCATCAAGTTCAGCCTTCGTCACATTTGTTTTTTGCTGTTGATCCAAAAGAAGGCAAAAAAACTCAGTTTGAAGCACAATTTTGCAACAAGCTAGGAAAAGAATTCCTTCTTGACCCCAGAATGGCAGTCAGATTTATCCTTGGATTAAGCAGTTATTACCCTACATTGAAAGATTATATCCTTGAATATTATGTTTTTGCAAGAATGCATCTAGTAGCTGTTTGAACATCTGTATGGACTCTGATAAAACCACTTCTTCAGGCATAGAATTCCACATCCTGATTGTTCTTACAGTAAAAAAACCTTTCCTTTGCCATAGACGAAAGCCTCGTGTCCTATGTAAAGTCCAGTTTGTGAATAGATTTCCACACAATGGTTTGTATTGGCCCCGAATATATTTGTATAATGTTATCATATGCCCTCTCATGCGACCTTTTTCTAAATTAAATAGGTTTAAATTTGTTAACCTTTCTTCATAGCTGATATGTTCCATTCCTTTTATTAATTTTGTAACCCGCCTCTGCACTTTTTCTAGTGCCATAATATCCTTCTTTAGAACAGGTGCCCAAAAGTGCACAGCATATTCAATATGTGGTCTTACCAGTGATTTATAAAGAGGCAAAATGATATTCTCGTCCCGAGAATGAATGCCCTTTTTCATGCATGAAAATACCTTACTGGCCTTGGCCACTGCTGACTGACATTGAAAATTTTTCATAGTTTGTTGTCTATAACAATTCCCAAATCCTTTTCGTGTGTTGTTATCCCTAATTCACTTCCATTAAGGGTATATGTTGCTTGTATATTCTTTACACCGAAGTGCACAACTTTGCATTTTTCAACATTAAATTTCATCTGCCATTTGAGTGCCCAGTCCCCCAGTCTATCTAAATCCATCTGCAGCAAAGTAATATCTTGCTCACATTGTATTATTTTACAAAGTTTTGTGTCATCTGCAAACACTGAAACATGACTTTCAATGCTGTCTTCAAGATCCTTTATAAATATGTTAAATAGAAGGGGTCCCAGAACAGACCCCTGAGGGACACCACTTGCCACCTCTGACCAGCTTGAAAATTTACCATTAATGACAACTCTTTGTACTCTGTTTTTAAGCCAATGTTCTACCGAAGAACAAGCATTTTCATCTATACTGATTTCCTTGAGTTTGAACACTAATCTATTGTGTGGAACTGTATCAAATGCCTTGGCAAAATCCAAATAGATCACATCCACTGCAACACCCTGATCTATACTTCTACTAACTTCTTCGTAGAACGCAATCAAGTTAGTTTGAAATGACCTGTGCTTCATAAAACCGTGCTGATTTTTGCTGATAACCATGTTCTTCTCAAGGAATTCTAGAATATTATCCCTTAATAACCTTTCAAATATTTTACCAGCCACAGAAGTTAAGCTCACAAGGCTATAATTTTCAGGCAAGGATTTTGAACCCTTTTTGAATATAGGAACCACATCTGCCTTCCTCCAATCCTCCGGAAAACTTCCTGAAAGAAAAGAATCTTGAAAGATTAAAAACAGAGGTTCACTTATTTCTACACTTAGTTCCTTAAGTACACATGGATGGATACCGTCAGGCCCTGGAGCTTTGTTTATATTAACTTCCTTTAGTTGCTGCAGCACCTTGTCTTGAGTTAACCAATTACAATTATTCTGCAAGTTTTTAGTTGCAATCATTTGCACATCTATTGCCATGGGTTCTTCCTTAATATATTTGGAGGAGAAATAGTTATTTAAAATTACTGCCTTTTCCTGGTCTTCATTAACTAAAACTCCCGTTTCAGTTTTTAGTGTACGTACACTTTCATTTTGTTTTTTTTTAGAATTTATGTACTTAAAAAATGCTTTGGGTTTGGTTTTGCTCTCTTCAGCTATCATTATTTCATTTTGAAGTTTAGCAAGTCTAATTGCTTTTTTGCACGCATTATTTTCTCCCTTCTATCTTTTATAAGATGCATCTGATTTGTCCGATTTAAATGCTTTAAATGCCCTTTTCAAAACGTTAGTTTAAATTCCGGAAGGAATTCCAAGTAATTATGGGCAATAGACTGGCCCATGCTACGGCTTTACCTGTTGGTTCATTAGGTATACAATTTTGGCTCTATCCGTGGGAAAAGACCCAGGAGAGGCTTCAAATTGGTAAATCGATCTGATTAAAAAAAAAAACCGACTTCAAAATGCGGGGGTGAAGAAAGGGTGATATTAGGTGCCCTATATTAAATGGGAGTAGGTACAGTAGGTGGGGGTTGTTTGTAGGTATCTCGTGTCCTTGTAATTGCATATACTCCAAATTTGATCCACACAGGGCAGATGGAAGCTAGTCTGAGGACATTAATCAGGGTTAAACTCAATATTGTTTCACCAACCTTATTAGATAGCAACAAGCTAGCCTGTTGCTTTTCTTTCTGCACTCCCAGTGCTCCAAGCCAGCCTTGCCCTGACTGCTTTCCTTTCTGCACTCCCAGTGCTCCAAGCCAGCCTTGCCCTGACTGCTTTCCTTTCTGCACTCCCAGTGCTCCAAGCCAGCCTTGCCCTGACTGCTTTCCTTTCTGCACTCCCAGTGCTCCAAGCCAGCCTTGACTGCTTCCTTTCTGCACTCCCAGTGCCTAGTCTCCTTGACTCTCTATATGGAGAGAACAGGCTCTCTCCTACCTGCTTCCTGGGAGGAAGCCAGCAATCCCTCCCTTTTCTCTGCCTAGCCGGGAGGGGTTTATTCCCACTGCAACAGCTCATTAACTGCAGCTGAGCAGTGGGTTGGAGGGTCCAAAAAACCCTGGCCTGGATCTATGTCTCCCCAGAAAACCACTAAACTGTGGAGTGGAGCATTGGCCCACCCTTCTCTCCAAATGCTCCACCCCAGGGGCCCATAACTAAACAATGCTTTGTGTTGTGCAACACACAAGCTACACGTACATTCCCCTGGGGTTAAAAGGCCTATCTGCACTTCACTTTATCACAGGGTAGTACCTGCCAACGGAATCTCAGGCTGTAAATGACAGTTGCAAGGAATAGCCATTCATTAGGGATACCAGAAATCTGGGGAGTCAGAACGAAGCCAAAGTCAATAACCAAAGAAACACGATCAGGAGCACACTCTCGGATAACCAGCAAAGGGAAATCATGACAGGGCAATGAGTAAAAGAAATGAGTGAGTTTAAATATCCCTCTTGTGAATCTGATTGGCCGTATCCTGCCTTTGACCCCAAAATTTGCACACGCGTCCTCTGCGTGACATCACCCACATGTCAACGTCGCTACCACCGTGGACAGACTTGGGGCTACATAATAGTGTTGATCTGCAGCGGCGGGCTTCCACTTGCATGTCGCTAAAGCCCGGCCTTATTGTTATGGGCA